CGGGCCGACGACTGCGGCAACACGGCATTGCACATAGCCTGCAAGAAAGGTTCCCTCGCCTGCTTCGGCGTCATCACCCAGACAAACCAGCGCCACCTCGCCTCCATCATCTCCTTCCCCAACTACAGCGGTAAGTTCGGAATTCTGCCAAGAAAAATATGCAAGGCTGGTTTCTCTGAGAACGGGTTCTGAACTGCTCTTCTTTGCCCCCCAGGACAAAACTGTCTTCACGTAGCGTCGATTCACGGCTACATTTCGTTAGTGGAGAATCTAGTTGGGCTGGGCGCGGATATCAACGCACAGGTGGGTGTCATCAAGTTCAAGTCAAGTTTGCAACGACGAGTCCCGTTTGGAGCAAAGTAGCGAAGTAACCATTCATTTTGGTTTATAGGAGCAATGCAGCGGTAGGACGGGACTCCATCTAGCGGTGGACGTCCAAAACCCGGCGCTGGTCCGTCGCCTCCTTGACCTCGGCGCTGACGTTAATTGCCTCAATTACGGCGGGTTCACGCCGTACCACCTCACCTACGGACGGCAAAACGACGACATCCGCCGGCAGCTGTATGAGAAGACGGCACAGGAATTGAGGGCCTTGCCCGACAGCGAATCAGACGAGAGCGATATGGAAGATCTGGACTTGACTGAGGATGAGGTCGGTGTCCATCAATGACAGCTGCTCACATGGCGAGCATTTCCATATTCGAGTCAAGGTTGTAAATGTTGACGCTTCTTTGACAGTTGTACGATGACATCAAGTTTGGAAAGTAAAGGCCGACGATCTCCTGCCACTGGCGCTGTCGAGAGCTGCTATCAGGTCACCGAACCCCGGCCCAAAGAAAGGACAAAAACCTGCCCGGGACGTCCGCCGAGTGCTGGCCCGGCGATCACAAGAAGGAAGACGGCATCTGCTCTGGTCTAGTTCGATCCAGAAAACAGAAATTAGCACCCAGAACGCACGGCGAGACCATAAAAGGTCCATGTGTTCTCCCCTGCAATACTGTAGAAGGGTATAATGATGTGAATATACCAGACTGGTCTTTTGTAGTAAATTGTAAATACAGAGATATTATTTTTGTACCTGTAAATATGTTGTGAAATGAAACACTATCGGTGAAATAACATGCAAAATAAAAAGAAAACTTGTGAAGAGTGAATTCCAGATCCCTTCTGTGTGAGGCATTTTTACTGGAACACAACCACACTTAGTCACGACACATAAACTGACAGCGCTGAGAGTTATGAGCCACACTTTGAAAGACACATGGACCAAAACGATCCGATTCAACCCCACGAAGCGGTCTGGGGTGAGCTCACAGTGTGTGAGTCACGCTGTGAAAAGTCCCATGGCGGCGCACACAACGTGCTGAATATTCCGCCCTGCCTCCAAAACTGTCGCGCGACACGAGGAATCTAAGACGCACTTTGAGAGGAAAGGTCAGAGGCGCTAACTTGTTGCTTAGTCACAATGAATGGGAAACGTGGAAAGTACAATCCATCCAAATCCTGGTCATCAATTTATTTATTTTTTTGTCTAAGAATGACCGTGACCAGTACAACTGTGACGCCTGTCCTGAACCGACACTTTTCAAAAGATCCCAGAACGATAAGATTTAATAGCAGCGCCTAGAATTGTCCGCAGGGCTGTAAACATGAGTGGGCCATATACACGTGCGCGGGACTTGACGGGTTTTTCCAAGCGACTCATCTGCTTCCTTTTAAAATCGCATCCAATTCCACATGACAGGGGAGCTCCGAAAATGATTCCTTGATTTAGGAAAACATGACATCTGAGAGGGGATTTATAGTTTTGATTTGTGATTCAGCGATAGGTGGGGACGATGACTAATCATTTGAAGACTGGAAGAAACCGGACTGACGAATTGATGACATCATTTTTGATCAAGATTGACTGATGACAAATTTTGTCACTCAAAGAAATGAAAGCCGCCATTTCCCCAAAATACACGATTGCCGCGACGTTCGCGCAAACGTTAGCACTTTTTTATGCAGGGTAAGTGAACAAAATCTGTGACAGATTTCAAGTTATTGGATCTGTTTGGTTTGTGCACATGTACAGTGCCTTGACGAAATAAGGTCAAATCTGCTCATGGAGTGAACCCCCCCCCCCCAATCCTCCCCTCCAAAAAAAAAACATTGAAGCGCAATTCAGAGTGTCATCTGATTCTGGTGCTTTTTAAGTTCTACAACAGGAAGTTGCGAGCGTTCCCATCGACAGCTTTTTGCCACTTCTAAATTTGACACACGAAAGCAGTTCTGATGAAGCCGGCCGGATGTAGTCACATGAGCGCCACTGCTGAAAACCTCAAATCGATGCCGCTCAATGCAAACAAATCGTAGGTCATGCCAAAGAGATAAAAATACGGCCAAAGTTATTTTACTCCAAAACATTTTTTTTTTAATTGTTGAATGTATCGGTGGGGGAAATGTACAGCAAACCGAGATAACGCCAGCCTCCATTGTGAGAGCAGCATATCCCATCTCGCTCTTACTAAATTCAAAACAGGGCACACTTCCTCTTCTCGCTCAGTCCCGCTCTGCCAGGGACATCAGGTGAGTATCCACTTCGGCCTCCGTCAGAATCCTGGAAAGAGGAAATGGGCCGATGATGGCGGGCAGACCCTTTCACACAGATTGTTGCAGTTGCCACTTTTGTTACTGGACCTTTTGCAGAAATTACGTTGATATTTTTGGGAAGTTTCTGATAAAATGGCCTTACTCCCAGCTGTCATAGAGCCCATCGTTTTATGGTTACATGACAGCATATATACAGACAAACTTATATATGAGTTTGCTTTCACGATGCTGCCAGACTTTAAAACACAAATTACATTCCACACAAGACTAAGGATTAAATCACGACAAAGCTCTTTCGTAATTACGTCACCTCGCCCTGTTTCAAGATCCGCACTCCCATCTCCGACAATCCCATTTAAGACGAACTCCTGCCCTTTGTGAAAACTGCGTTCCTTTTATTGTTATTTTTGGAAACATGGAGAGCCGTCTTTACCTGAACTTGGGGTCTTGCGTCGTAACCACGCCCACCTCAAGCTCGGAGGGCTTGAAGTCAATGGAGAGGACAGTTGACAGACAAGAGATTGCCGTCTAAAACAAGAGTTGAAGCACGAGGGGGATTTCATGAGCAATTTACAGGCTAACCTTCCACGATGTTAAACCCGAAAAGTCACTTGACATTGATTGCGTCACTTCCGCATCACAATACCTCGATAGTTTGCTCGAAGGTCCAGTCCAATTTCTTTTTCACCTTCTTCTCCAGGAAGCTGGTGGCTTCGGTCTGCTTCACCCCGGCGGCGGTGGCTTTGAAGCCGCAGTAGTAGCCTGCCGGGTCACATTTGTAGACTTGCGGCCCGCATTCCGCGTCGATGCCGATCACAATCATACCTGCGGGTACGACATAGCAAGGACACACTTGATGTGGCATACTGAGCAGCGATCTGCAGCAAGGAGCCCAAGGGCTTCTTAATTTCCGCAACAATAAACCGGATCAATTACACGTCAACCTTTTTGCTGTACTGGGCTTTGGGCACCTAATCCTTCTGCTGTGCGAAGCTGAAGCCATTTATTAAAACCAATCTTGATGTTGCCCCCCCCCCCCCACCACCACAAAAAAGGAGTAATGTTTTAACATTGCGTCGCCACATGAAAAAGTTACTTAAGCCATTATGTAATTACAGCAATTGTAATGCTTTAAATTATATAATGGATTTATTTTGAACCCAGTTCTCCTGGTTAGTTCTGTCAAAAGAATAAGGCCATGTTTTTTTTTTTCTTTCAAGAACGCCTCTACATTTGAGGAAGTTGCACCATATGTTGGAGTGCAACCTCTGATGACATTTACCTGTGACAAAAACAAGTTTCTGTTTGTTGTTTACAGATATCCAGTTATTCTCTTGTTTATTTGACTGGCAAGTTATCACTGGCAAGCGGCAATGACGTCATATTACTTCAGGGTGTAGTGTACCAGAACAACGGCGATGCTTTGTGCGACCTCGGGGTTAAGCGGTCGACGCACCCAGCGCTAATTAAAGGGCAAAGCGTCTATTAAATTGGAGGCAAGTATTTGAAGATTTGTCTGATTGTAATCATTACTTACAGCAGCCCAGCGGTCTCATCTCGGCATTCTGCGTGTAGACTTGAGAGATGTCTGCAATTCTCTTACACAGCATGTCCACCGGAATCTCATAGCCGTACTTGTACTGCCAGTTGGCTGCCTCGTAGCGAGCGCGCTGAACTTGGGACCGACTGTCAGCTGTCAATGTTGTTTAGGAGGGGGGAGAAAAACAAAGTCATTCTTTGAAAAACATCGCTTCTTTGCACATATATGACAGGTAACATTCTTTTGTAGCTGAGGCTTTAGTCATTATTAACACTGCTTGACGCATAGTTAGTTTTGTGACTTTTTGGGGAAGGCGGCTGCAGCAAGGAGAAACAGTCTGGAATTAACAAACCAAAAAAACGTGCAGTGCAGAAAAATGTGCAGACAAGCCTTCTCGGAGCATATTATGTTCATAAACCCCAACATCTGACAGATGAAATGTGTTGATCGTGTCAGTGTCTTCTCTTTGATTACCTGTCATTCCGGACATTACACATCCAATGTTATCTGTTATTCTGAAAAGGTGGGTCACTGTGGCGGAATCCAGAAGCTTGTCCTGTCAAAGTAAAAAAAAAGTTGTCATTGACGATCAATAGACCTCAGTTAACATGCAATTGGTAACTGACAAAGACTGTAGCATCAGTGTTAAGTACGAAACAAGTGCAAGAGAGGGGCTTGGGCGTGTCCACAATGACCAATATAATATTCTCCAAGTCATAAGTCTACTCAGTTACTATTTCAACATCAAGATTACAACTAGAAAAGCACAGGACCATATAATACACTACTCACCGGTACTTTTTTCTGTGTGACGACAACCGCACAGTCCTTCCCACGGACGGCGACTGATGTGAGTCCACCTTGATTAATAGCCTTAAAAGCATATTCTGTGAGTGGGAAACAGGATGATGGTCACACATTTACGTTCATGAGACAGTTGCTTTGTATGGGTTGGTGTGTTTGCATAAGTTATAACACACCAAACCATACATGAGCGTCGATGAACAAATTAATAACGACGGGGCTCTTTTTGTGCACAGTATTTCTTTCTGCATAATGGACAAATCTTATAGATTTTAGCGTATAATTACCAAGCGTTGGATTACACGCATTCAGAAGAGTGATACTTTCGCTTTCATTTTTATTTAGACCAAGTAAAGATTGGGCGATCAACTTCAAAACTAAACCGATCAATAAAAATGTCATTAATTCAACGATGATGACACTCCGTTGTATGAAAGGTACAACAACAATGAATTCATCAGTGATACTACTGACACGCTAAATTTTAGCTTGCCGCTAAATTGCTGGTTCACGCCGTTTGACTTTCGTAGGAATATCGAAGTTGTCAAACCATAACCTTGCCAACACAAGTACACTCTATATGAATAAATATAACGTGTTGTCATGTTTTCGCGGCAGCAATGCCTTATTTGCAAGCAGTTCGGGGAGCTAACCGAAGCATGACAGCGCATTTAGCTGGCTAGCAAACATGGCGCAACTTTTCCAAAACACGACACATACTGACCGACTTGATAAAGCCTTCCTTCAGGAGAGAAGATGGTAATGTGGCGATCAAACCCAGCACTTGAGCCTCGGGACATTTTCCAAAGTAAACTTGAACGAGGCGTTCGTCCGAAACAATATGCAAGCGGCTAGTGCGCTGTTTCAACCCGGAAGCGAAGCATCTTAGGCGAAAACTACATCCGCTGTGAAAGGTTCCTGCCGTCTCCATGGAAACGGAGAACGCTTTGCGAATAAGGAGGTACAGTACCGGCAAAAGTAGAATTATTGATTAAAATGATTTACTTCAGTCAACAAAAGTCCAGACTGCAATGTCCTGAAGCATAAAAGCAGGTCATGTAGAACAATGTAAGATTGTGTTTTCAAATGGCGAGTGCGTAACATATGTTTCCAGTTCCGTGGCAATCCTGCAAAACCATTTCATTTTTATGATGCACAAGAATATTTGTCGTGCTTTTTTTAACCGCTCTTAATTGATAAACTCTTATTTTTTTGTTCAATGAAAACAAGGAAGAAATTATGCAGGGGCAAGAATCATTCAGTCGCGCAGAAGATTTCAGGTTCGGATTTTCAAGAATGCATTTTATTTTTATTCATGAGAGGGAATTTCATGACCTAAATAGTCAACCCCCTCCACCCATGCTGACTGCCTTTATGTTGACTCTTTATTTTCCACGCATAACCTTTTGGTATATCTTTGAGTCCCCTCTACTTCTGAACTTAGTCTACGAAAGCACCTCTCATTCATATTTGTATAGTGTTTCCACTCAGGGTGCTCTGCCTGTAAAACAAACACACTCCCTATTCTAAAACAACAAAAACAAGCAATCCGAATTATTAATAGATCAAAATATACGGAACCCACAAATCCACTATTTATCAAATTAAATACGATGAAATTTTATGACCTGGTTAACTTTATATCGCCCAATTAATGTACAAATCACACAATAACCTGCTCTGCCAAAACATTCTGAAGTTTTTCGAAATTCGAGAAAGCTGCTGTGATTTGAGAGCTACCAACTTATTCAAAAAATTCAAAACAAGACCAAACATCAAGCAAAGGAGTGTATCTGTCAAAGGTGTTAATCTGTGGAATAATTTCGAAACGGACCTGAAAATGAGTAAATCGCTTGCTGAGTTCAAAAACAAATTCAAAAAAATAGTTCAAACAACCTACATCAATCAGAGTTAAGGTGATAACTTCTGAACATTAATTAAATATAATAATAACCCGTAGGGGAGGGGGTACTGTTAGGGAGGGGCCAGCCAGGCAGCCTCCTCAGCCAGGGTGCTCTGCACCTCACACCTGAGACTTGTCAGCTCATCACCCACCTGTTGCCTATCTGCTCGTTTGGACTGGTACATATTGACTCACAGACCATTCCTCAGTGCAAGTTCGTGCCGTCACCACGCCAGTGGACTTTGTTGCCATTTCCTACAGCTGCTTGTTCCTTGTGTGGACAATTCCTTGTGGACTCCTCGTGCTTCCTCCTGAGTGACTTTGCGAAGACTCTTCGAATAAACTACGCCAAGTGTTGGCTTCAACTATACCTGCCTGTTGTCGTGCTCTTGGGGTCACACCCAAACCCTAACACGAAAGCACCTCTCATTCATATTTGTATAGTGTTTCCACTTTGTGTGTGAAAGACCCCCCTACCACCACCCCCGGGTCGGTTTGAAGATGTGTGGGAAGCAGTTCCGCTTATTTCAGGTGCTGTTCAGGCACAAAATTTTCAATGTTGCAACACATTTTGTTCCATTTACTGTTTTAGTCTGCATCAGAGCTTTCACTTAAATGTGAATAGCTTAAGAAAGCACTAATCGTCCATGCAAATAAATACAATAAAGTAAAGTTTTCCTTTAAGCTTGTTTTTTTTGTTTGTTTGTTTATTTTATTGGGTAGAGCCAAGCAAGCTACATGCAAGAAAGAAGATAAAGAGAAGTGGCACAATGCTGGGAACAGTGCTACTTGGTTCTTTAACTTTGACACAAATACAGGGAACAGCATGCTTTTTTTTATTTTAGCTTGTGGTCTGTCGTGTTGCAAGCACACATATGGCTGCAATGTCACTTGGTAGTGTTGCAATGCCTAGTGCACCCTTTGTTCGCCTCCTTGCATAAACAGTCGGCTTTAGCAAAGAAGAGATACATTTGATTTCACGCTTTGCAGGCTTTAGTAGAAATATGACACAGTAAAAAAAAGTCTTGCATACACACTATGTACATGCTTAAACTGTGTAGGACAATGTAACTTTTAGCAAAACACACTCACACCGAGGGACAATTTAGAGTGATCCATTAACCTGCCACGCATGTTTTTGGAACGTGGGAGAACACCAGAGTACCCGGAGAAAACCCATAAAGGCACGGGGAGAACATGAAAACCCCACACAGGTAGGCCGGAGGCGGAATGGAACCCCGCACCTGTGCACCGTGAGGCGGACGTGCTAACCAGCCGAACAGCGCGCCGCCCTCATTCTAAAATAAATAACCAAAATATAGAATTAGAATTCTTGAAAGTCAAAGTCACAAAGGGTAACTCAAAGCCTCCTCAAAACACTTTGAAAGCGCATGTGAACGAATCATTCCGTTTTAAATGAAATGCTTCCGTTGATCTAAAATGAACGGGCCAATCTAATTCACTGTGGAGAAATAATTCAGACAGACTCATGGCCCTTTGGCAAGACATGTGTCAGAATCCATGTGACCGTTGCCAGGCCTGATTTCATTTCGGAAGTGGAGCTGCCTTGTGTAAAAGTTTCTACCAGCATTTAATTCAAATGAATCTCGAATGTAAAACAGAGCACTTAAACTTTAGCAGCGTGACTGAACCTGCAGCCAAAGGCATGTGCTAGAGTAACACTCGGAACATGTCGCCAGCAAGTCATGATGACTATGAAGTTCCACAGAATGCCACTCGTGCCTTTACGACTGTTTGAGTTATCTGATTGTCAAGGAAACCTTTGTTTTGTCTCGCAAGAATGAGAATCAGCAGGCGTGGAGCAAACATAAAATACGCACGCACTTGAATGATGAGTGACGATACGATCCTGCAACAGCGTCAAAAGCGTTTTGCAGGCCATTTGCCTTTCATCGGCTGTTGCAACCAATCTCCAAATGCATACATGTCACACTTAAAACGGGTCACAGACTCTTTTTGTCATGTGCTGGATAAAACAGAGGTAAAAATGGATTATGATAGAATGTCATCTTTAAAACGATCTAAGTCTGTCACAAAACACTGTTTATCCGTCCATTCAGTTTTTTTTATTCTGGAACAATCATGTGTATTTAACTCAGATTTAACTACTAGCTTCAACTGATGAGCTAAGTAAGCATTACCTCATTGCTTTAATTCGTCTCCCCCTCTTACGCTATCTCATTGTGGTGCACGAGATGACCTAAACATGCAGCACACTAATCCTCATCTTTTAATAGCCATCTGCAAATTACACAGGTCAGCACTGACAGTGTGCAATTTTAGTTTTTCACCAAAAGCCTCTGAACTGTAATCTTCACACTCTTGTGTTGTTGTTGCTGTTTTTTTTTTTTTACTTAATTAAATTCAATTTCGAGTCACTGATGGTGTAGCATCAGTAGCAACAGTTCTTCCTGACCGGCCTAAGATTCCAAGCAATTTTTTTTTCTCCTGGAAAAAAAAATTGGATATCATAAAAGCCCCTTGACACCGTTTTGTGATTAACGGCTATAAATAAACTTGACTTGATTTCAGCATCTGTCCTTGGCTCGCCTATCCGAGGTTTAACCATCAGCCACTCTAGTTCCCCGAAAGGGAACGAGAACTTTAAAAAAAAAAAAACATATCTAAGAGCATAATTTTGGGAGTCTGCATTTCCGAGTGAAGGCAAAGTCAGCAATGTGAGGATTGGAAATATTGTAGCAACGGCAACTGTGACAGATCGACTGTACGACATGTGCGAGTAACAAATAAGGAAAGTGATGCATCAAACCAGCATGATGAAGCCCAAAAGGAACAATGAGACCACTGTATGACTAAATACAAGGCAAGCATGAATGGTGACTGCAGTTGCGGTACACGATGGCGACTGAAGGATCCACGAAATAGCATGACTCATGTTCGACACACTACTGTACGCCTATAAAAATCCCCCCTCTCAAAGACTTTACCCCTCATTAATTGCATGTTTGCACTTTCGGTGGATGGAAAAAAATGTTCTCATGGATCATGTTTGTTATGTCAATGTCAAAAAAAGGGAGAATAAATAAAGAACGACACCGAGTGGTGATGTCATTGCTGGGAATGCTGGGGGAATTTGGAGTGACAAAACTTCCCAAGAATTCAACAGCTGATGGACTTTGTGTATTTGAAACATTTGTTCGGTGTTTTCTGGCAAGACGACAGCTTGATCGAGGGATTTAAAAGCCGTTAATGGGTGGGACTTTACTTTATGTTGACACCTAAATTCCCTCTTGCTGTTCCTGCCAGTTCCTTCATGCTTCCCGATTTCCAAAGTGCTGTCAGGAAACTTAATCTTACTTCCAATATCCCCGGGCGGGGGGAGATTTATTGCTAGCTTGAGGGTACTCGGGACTTTGAAAAAGGCTCCACAGCACTATATGTGACTTTCATTTCAGCAATGAGACGTTCTGAAAAACACAGGAATGTCCTCACGCTGCTCGGGCGGAATTTTTATTGGGAATTTCCCGCTATTGTGTGTGTGTGTGTGCGCGCGCGCACATTTTTATGCACTTCTGGCCTGTGCGCAACGCCTGAACGCCTACAAACAAGTCTGACCGACTCGCATGGGTGTCTTATTCTGGAAAGGTGAACAACAATCGCAACAGAGATGACAACAGCAACCCCACACCCAAGCTAACTTTTTCCCCCCCATAACTGCAACATCTGGTGAATTTCTTTTTCAAACTAGAATTGGAATCAAATTGATCGTTTTTAATAAGTAACCCCCACCCCCACCCCGCCCCAAAAATTGAAAATCTGACTTGATGCATTGCAATGAAAAGATGTAAATGTAAACAAATCAAATTAATAATATGCAGATTTGGTGCATGAACGCAGTATATACTCGATACGATAAAAAGTCTAAAGGTAAATTCAGACACTGAATGAATGAATGAACGAATATTTCAGCACATCAAAACACTCTGCCGATGTAGACTTTCATCTCCAG